TTCTGTGCACCGACTCCATTCATAAGGCTTTTACTGTATGGTATTTATTAAAGGCAGACTCAGTACAGAAAGATAGGGAGCAGAAACGCTCTCTGCGTGGTCAATAGTCAACCGATAAGGGATTTTCACTGGTCGATACCAATATTTAGAGAGCAGGGCCGATATACAATGCAGATATCAAAACATAAGAGCCATGTCTAATTCTATTCTGTTTTACGGGGAATTCAGGTTTACAACAGGATGTATGAGAGTTATAGTACAGGGCTCAAAAGCTAACTTTTTCACCACCTTCCCAAAACTCACAAAGGGGAGCGCTAACATCGTTCCACAGCAGCCACACTGATGAGGCTGCCTGCGGATGGATCGACCATGTGAGCACAGATATTGGCCAATGCTGATTATGTCAAAATGCCAGATAATCAGCGCGATTAATCAGTCAACCGATTAGTGATCACCGCAGGCATGCAAGCTGCATGGGCGTGAAAAAATAAATTGACAGTGCCCCCTAAACTCAGCCCGAGTCACATTTTACAGATATGTATGAAAACTGGTATGCACATTTATCATGACCAGCAAACAAAAAAGACTTTGGGATCAATATCACAATCCCAACAGGAAATTGATCATTTTTAATTTTATGGTAATTTTTGCAGATTTGGCAATGGATCTGACTGACTTGGTCAGTACAATGTAAAGATCATCATTATTAAAAGTTCTGCGATTTGTGACTGTGACGTTGAGTTTCAACATATTGGGCTCTATCGTGCACTCAGCGCAATTGGAATTTTCCCTCCACGGGCGCACGTCCTTAAATTAGGGAATGAACTTGCGCTCCAGGGGGCGGTTCAGTGAAAAGAGGAGGAGTGTTCCGGCGTAAACGTTCCCTGGTGCTATTTTGCTGTTTCAGAAAACAATTCCGCCACCGACCAGGAAAAAACAAGTCTAAAGTCAGTGGCGCTTATTCAGATGCTATTTTAAGGGCGCAGACTTGAGGGGATGCGCCTGAGAGGCAGCAGCAACATCACCACCCGGTCAAGACGGGCATTAATACTTTGCCGTATCCCGGACAGCTCCTGCTCCAGCATGTCAAACCCGGTTTGCTGCAGGAACGGGTGGTCCTCCGGCGTGTAGTGGGTCTGGATCCTCTGCACCTTGGTGTTTGCGCTGCTCCATCCTCAGCTGGCCCTCATGCACTGCATGGCCCGTGCGCACTGCTCCCGAGGCCAGGGTCTTCTTCCTGCGAAGCTGCGTTACATTGTTTGGATTTATTGTATGGCTGTGTTACATTTATTTCATGTCAATAATGTCACTTCTTGGTCTTTTACGGCCCTGACGAGAACGTCGGTCTCCTCGGCTGTGAACCGCTCCTGGCGTGCGCCTGGCCAATCTGCTGTTATAATAGCAATCTGCCATGGAACAAGCGCGCCTGCTTTTAAAGGGAAAGGGAAAGAGTTTGTTTTTTGCCCCCCCTTTTTAAATTTGGGAATGTGGGGTTTATCCAAAGAAGATGACTTGCGTTTTCTGATTGGTTTATGGCAAGATAGGGCCCATTGCTTAAAAGTTGTTAATTCAGTGTACTTTGTCCAATCACCACCAAACCTCACATTTGACTAATGTAGCTCCTTCAGACCAAACCCAATCCTAATACCCACAAAAAAAAGAAGAAAGATTTTAGATTTGCCTCCGTGTCATCATAAACCCTTATCTCCCCGCTTTTTTGGCATCTATGGGATTCTACTTTTTTAGATATAACGAGCAAATGGAGCCTTCAGCCATGGTGACAGGGTCAGAATTTTGGAATGACTGGAAAGATGTGGGCTCCCCCTTGTCCCCTTGTTCAAAATAAATCATGGGGACTGTATGCTGGAGAGATTTTTCAAGTTTTTACCACCAGCATTGTTTTTGTTTCCGTATGGGAGGATTCTGCATTATCAGTTATCTATGACAATGACGGAACAAAGAGGCGGATAAAATGGCGACTGTGTGCAAGCACTCTTAGTGGTAATTCCGATATGATGTACCGTTTGCGTCGACCCCAGTGTGTCTGCTGACATCGTGAGGAGGACAGAGTCTGGTAGGAAAGAGCAACTCCTTCTCCCTGCAGCATTTCCTCTCCATGCACATTTAGACAGGGCAAAATCCAGAACTAAAGCATTGGTAGGGGGTTTACGTTGAAAGATATGCAGTCATGGAGGATGCGTGATTTCATGTGGCAATATTTTATTAAAATAACAAAGCTAAACTAAATGATGCAGTATGGCAGTTTTGGTACTGGTGCTGGCTCATAACTTACTTAGAAGTATAAACAAGTTTTCTAAAGAAAACCTTTTTCTTTGATTTAGTAAGAAACTAAGTAGAAAAGAGTACAAATCTGAGCAAGCATAATGTGCGGGGCTACTGACACTTCAGTTGGTAACAAAATAGTATTGTGGTTTCATATCCAGCCATACTCCTATATCCATATCCACCGTCAACAAAGAGAATTAATGTTGTAATCTTATTGTTTGGTTGAACGGAAATTCATTTCCAACCCATAACAGATTGTGTTTGTTTCAAGAATCTGGAAACATAATATAAAGGCAGTCAGCTAAATGAAGAGCTCCAGGTGAAAATACATCATACATTCTGCTCTAAGACGTGGGCCGTTCCAGGCATCTTAATATGATCTGAGAGAAATGTATCAGACTTCAAAGTGGCTCTTCAACCAGACTGCTGAACTAAACATGGAATCAGTGAAAAAAATAATCACCACAGCAATGAGAGTAAAGCAGACACATCGAAGTACACTACGTCAATCAGTACATCAAAAAAGATCTACCCTTACGCCTGCTGAGCAGCTCTGAATAAATGTGGCTGACAGCCACTGAGTAACGTAAGTAAGACCACAGACATGTTTTCTCTCTATCAGCATGTTATCTTTGCACCATATGTACTGTGGTTATTGTGGGTTTGAATCAGATTTAGCGGCTACTGTCCACTGACTCTGATCTTGTGTTCTAAAAGAAAGCTCAATGCAGATAATTGCAGTGGCTGTATGTGAACTGCTGCTGTGGAGGTTGGAGATGTCAACCTGGGACCAAAGAACTGCAGACTTAAATCCCCCAAGCCTGTATAAAGATGTGGGAGGATGAACAAGCAATGCCCTTCACTCCATCAACAAGCAGTGGATAAGTACCCTTCAGTGAGGCGGTGAACCCCCTGCTGCTCCAGGGCAGCTCCCAACAGCTGACCTGCCTGCTCAATCATTATAAAGCACTCTGTGTAACTGCAGCAGAAAATACACATAAACCCACTGAGTTGTGCTTCATCTGTTTTTTTTTATAGTACAAAATAATCTATATTGATGTGATTTAGGTAATTTAGGTTGTCTGTCTACTTTGGTGAGTTGAGACAAGGTTTATTTGTAGAGAATCTTTGAACCACAGAGCACCAGCAATCTACAGTGCCTCTGTGAGGAAAAGGGAACATTAAAGCAATAAAATAAAATAAAATAAAATAAAATAAAATAAAATAAAATAAAATAAAATAAAATAGACTACAAATAAACAACAAATAAATAAATAATAATAAAGTTTCAGTTTAATTACAGTGCATTGATACGTTCCACTTAGGCTATCAAGCACTTTGGAAAATAGACAGCAGGTGAACCGTGAGTGGAAGAGTGCTCTGTGGTTTCAGAACATCTACCAGAAAAAGTCTCTCTCTTTTAACACTAAAAGGAGTCATTGAGCGTTAATATACTTGCGGCCCTCTAGAATACATCTATGTGTATCAAAGACTGACTGTAACTTTGCTGTGGAATAAAATAAATGCGTCAGATCACAGATTAAACTAATTAGAGCAGATATCAGCTGATTACAATTGGTGACCGATCAGTAGGAGCACCCTTACAGAGAATTGGTAGTTGATGTATGGTGTTGCTCATAGGCTGAAGAGGTAGCAATATGATTATCACTGTCCTTAGTCAAATCCAAGCTTTAGACATCTCATAACAGCTTTGTAGTTACAGCAGAAAATAAAACAGGCCATAGCTGCTGAATTTACTCACAACTAGGACTGTCACTGTATAAGACATTTAGTAGTCGATATCAATACCAGTGAAACTCAATTCACGATTCTTGATACCATTTTATTCAATACCACAGTTAAAAACAAAACAATAAATCCCTTGTACTTCAACATACACTCCTTCTATTAAAACCTTTAAGAAAATAACCACAGTGTGTAGCTCTTCAGTAAGAAATAACAGAAACGATTAGTCAACGTAGCCTTTCCTACTGCCTGTTCATCATCTGTGATGGAAAAACATCAGATTTCCACAAAGTCTGCTCATAGTTCAGTTATAAAATCCCAGGGGCAGACAGACTGGAGTCACACTGTCCTCCGTTTCTATCACAATTATAATTTTGTGGCTTGTGGTTTGTGGTAATTTTGTATTGATATCAAAAACACTCATCATTACGGAAGAGTCACCCGCCTCCTACATGCTTTATTATGGTGCAACCCCTCGAATAAACCAAACGGAGTGTTTCCAACATGTGATGATGTATCTGACAAGTTGTTAGGAGTTCATATGTGAAACGCTGCAGCTGTACTTGTTGCAATCTTCAACGTGTGTTGTTCTTCCGTGCTGGTCGGTGTTCTTCTTCTTCCTATGGCATTAATGGCAGACGAGAATATCTGTTGGCATGTATACTGCCCTCGTCGGGTTGGAATCGAATGTTTCTTGCCGAAATGCATCATGGGAGTCATAGTTAACCTCAACGTTTTGAACTTTGAATGGAACTCCTAATCATTTGGACTGATGATTGAATCTGGAGAAGTGTTCCAACCGTGAGTCATGTAACATTGTCTGGAACCTTTACTTCTGGAACCAGGGATCCCACTTTGCAACTCTACACAAGTGCTGAGCTCAAGTAATGGAGGACATGGTGAATGGCTGTTAGTTACATGCTATTAGTTTCAAATGTGCAAGATGTACTGACTGTAAACTGACTAACCTTTCCTCTCAAAGCTTTCCTTGCGGAGGAAGCAGACCACAGCAAGGAACTTGGTGACCTCCTTCAGGTACATGACTGTAGTGTTGTTCAAGTGGATGATGGCCATAGATTCCTTGTCATAGGGTAAACCACCTTCACTGTCTGTCAGACTGAAGGAGAGGAGGCAGAAAAACACACACTAAGCTTAACTCCATCGTCTTACACACAATACTACACAGGGAGGACTTCTATTGAGGCAGCAGTTTGAGTTGTTGCAAGAAACAATATCACAGCGTCTTGTCTTGAACAATTTCAAAGGAAGCACACAGTGGTTGGTGTTCCGAAAAACAACAGACCTCTGATTTTAGTATTCAACCACAGGCAGTCCAAGATGTAGAGAGCAAAGTGGAAAGGGGAGAGACACAGAGAGGAGTGGAAGCAGTGATGGGAACAGGTTAAAGGCAGGGAGTCTGACAATTTAAACAAAAAGTAGAGCAGGACACAGAGAGAAACAGCACTGGGGCGAAAGGACATTCTGTTCTTTCTTGGTTTTCACACTTAATTTATTCTGTTTTCACACAGAAAGAGAACAAACAAGAGACAGAAACATTGTTTAGTCTTTTTTAGTCCATCTGATGAATTTTGTCTTTGTGGTTTATATATTTGGGCTTCCTTCGCTTATTGAACAACATGGGACTTTTCATATTACTGTATACATACAGGTCCACTGCAGACTCGTTTCCTCAGAATCCCTTGGTATTTCCTCTAATGCAACTTACAATGAGTGCATTCAAAGGCCACACGAATAACAGATATTACCAAAAACTATAAACACCTCCCTCTCAAACAAACACCAAATAGCGTTTTCGTTTTGTGTAAAACAAAACAAAAAGTCAGCCACTGTAATCCTTACTGAAGAAACAGACTGCTGGAAGACATTCACTTCTGAAACACTTCAGTGGACATTGCAAGCATGGCAGAGTTGTAGAGCAACCACAGCCACAAGCTAAAGAGCAGCATGGATGCATGTTAGACGAACAACCAAAAAAACGTAGAAACACATAATGTACGGCGGGTGAAACAGGGACATTGTTTTGGGAAATGGAGGCTTTGAGTCCCTTTAGCTTCAATGTACTGATGTAGAGACACAAAGATAAGGTAACAATAGGTAAGACGATGTGTTTTTTTTTGTAATATGGCCGAACCAAACTCTTACATATGCCTCATGCCTAAGGACAGGTTCCACTGTCATAATGTACTTCCTAAGAGATGATGTGTACTTTCAATAAGAGAGTTTTTCCCCTTCGCATTGTCAAAAATGATTCAAGGAACATTCAGGTGAAAGGACATTAATGTTCTCATCACCACGACAATCTGCTGCCAGCAGACCCGTCAGAAAACTGAATGAACTTGAATGCAGCATCAGTAGAAAGGATTATCAACCCATAAATGTAGTTTAAGCCCTAACAGTGCATTCACATATAATAGTACATGATCATAATGGAAGTGTGTGTGTGTGTGTGTGTGTGTGTGTGTGTGTGTGTGTGTGTGTGTGTGTGTGTGTGTGTGTGTGTGTGTGTGTGTGTGTGTGTGTGTGTTTAGACAGCAGAGGTCAGACTCAGAGAAGAAAAATGATAGCAAATGAACAATGTAACCGGTAATAGTTCCCTCAAAATTATCTTTATTATGCTACAGCCACATACACAGCCCCATACCAACAACCTGTGATGCACTATGTGTTGTGACACCTTTCTATCACCTTTTTCCCATCTGACGACTGGGTCAGAGCATTTCCAAACCTGCAGCTCTTGTGAGGTGTTCCCGGTCTGCAGAGGTCAGTACCTATCAAAAGTGCTCCAAGGAAGGAAAAGAACCAGAGACAGGGTCATGGGCAGTCAAGGCTCATTGATGCACGTGGGGAGTGAAGGCTGGCCAATGTAGAACGGTGTCAGAACACAGCATCACAGTTTGTTGTTATGGGGCTGCAGAACATTCTGACCACCAGGGTGCCCAGGTGCCCAGAATGTTATGGCTGATCAGTGTATGGGACTAAGAATAGTTACAGTGCTCCACAGACTGGAGACAGCCAAAGAAGGCAAACATGCTCAGCTAATTTGAGTCGTGAATTCATCATTGTTGTCAAAGAGAAAAAAGAAATAATTGCATTTCACTGACAAAAGGCCTGGCTCAGTTTGTTGGCCAAGGAATATTTTAGTCACATTTGAGCTTTCCAAGAGCGTAGCATGCCAGGTTTCTCACAAGAGAGGAGTTCATTAATTAAATGAGGTGAAAAAAAAGGACTCCCTTTACTAAAGCCTCTAATTAAGGATAATATCCCAGCTGTTTTGTGATGATAATGATGGCAGCCTTCTGTACAACAATCTGCTGATTTATGTGAGCCGGTCCAACTGGTACCTACATGGCTTCCACACAGGTGAGCACACATATTATTGCGAGCTACTTAAGCGGACAGTTACGGTTGTGCTCACGAAGAGAGCGTAATCCGCAGATATCTGGCATCGACCTCTATTCATGGTCAAAATGTGAAATTAGCGAATCCTATTGGTGCCCTCTGCCACACATTCCCCAACACAGCTGTGATGGGTTAAATATTCACTCACTTCAGGCCAAATGTGGCCTAGTTTAGTTAAAACCCCCAGCTGTGATGCCTAAGGTAAATTACACAAACACACACACTCACACTCTCACTAAAACACACACACATCCTCCCCTCTATTATCCTGACAACAGACATGGGTCAAACAAGCATCACCTGGCCCAGGGGAGGCATCGTGACCATACGGTGTTCGAGAGTTCAGTTTGGGTGGTTCTATTACATTTGCCCGTGTGTTAAACACGTTATCAAAACATTGTTGATTTTGAGCCCTGTCCAATTTAGACTTGTTTCTTAGATTCTACATCTGTCTAGGCCTAGAGTAGGGCTGAACAATATGGTAAAAACATCATAATCATAAACATAAACATTGCAAAATGATTCTCGATTAGTGTGGGAATGAGTTTTACATCACAATTTTAATTTTCACTGACAAATACATTTAGAATGATAATGATGTAACATTTTTGGGGGTCTGTACCAAACAAATATGTTCTCTCAAATGAGGAGAACAAGATTTGTAGACCAGGGCATCTCTTCAGAACTACTATAATGCTAATTTATCACAAACTTCTGTGATTTGGATATTGCACTTGGCCACACTGCAGTTTCGATTAACTGTGCACCCCTAGCCTAGACAGTGTTTTCTACGGTGGCTGAGAAGCTCAAGGCACTAAAATGCAAGCAAAGCGACAAAACAGAAGCAACAGAAGGACACATTTCAACAACAAATTAGAATGAAAAAAAATGCTGCAAATAAAAAGAACACAAGCAAGAATGATCCCCTACGGGAGTTGCCATAATCACTATTTTCCAACTTGTATTCACTTTGACAAACAGGTCCATATTATGACTGGGAAGTCTCTATATAATAAAGTAATACAAATTAAGGAAGTGTAGGATTTATCTCATCTACCGGTGAGATTGAAACTGCTCACCTCAAGAAAGCACATAGGAGAAACTACGGTGGCCGTGAAACTACAAAACAGGCAAGTTCAGTATTAAAGGTTCAGCGTGTAGGATTTAGTTCCATCAGGCTGTGTAGTTGCAGATTGCAGAACGCCCTTGCCGGCCCCTCCCATTCCAAGTGTGTAGGAGAAACTACGGTAGCTGCAAAACCCACTAAAAAGTTCCTATCTAGATTCAGTGTTTGGTTTGTCCATTCCGGGATACTGTAGAAACAGAACAAAGAAACAATTAAAGGCAAACTCAATGTAGAATGATAGGGCCGGCAGCAGCAGCGCTCTCTGTGTGGACACAGAGCTGCAGCAGTTTAGCGAGGCAGCAGTCACACACTGCTCATGTGGGCAGTGTGTCCACGCCGTAAGAGTAGGAGGAGTGTACACTATTATAGATCACCCACACTTACGTACAGGCTAAGTGACACAGCACTGACAAGTGTAGGCGTAGTTCCTGCAGGAGCCACCGGTGGAAAATGTCTTTCAGTGCTCAAGGAATATAACATTTGGCGCCACTATCAGACTCATTATGGTGAAAGGACTTGCACAGACAGAACAGAGAAGATAAATGAACTGTTGTCCGGTTTGAGGAACAGCAGTCTATCACAGCTTTTCCACATTCATTAAAAACATTTTGTTGAAATTTTTCTTATGACATCTCAAGCTATTCATCATCAACTTTGTAAATGGACTGTTCATCAATTGTGAACATTTTCTAAATGTACTTGTACTTCATTACACTAAAAGAAATGGAAAATTGTGGGGGTGCTGTCATTTGTAGGTTATTATGTAGTGGTTTTACTGGTCCGGGCCCACTTGAGATCAAATTGGGCTGTATGTGTTCCATGAACTAAATTGGGCTTGACACCCCTGGTTTATATTAAGAAAAACCCTTTCTATACACATCACCCTTGACTGAGTCACAAACAAATACTGGAAAAGGCACCCACCACCCAGGTTTAATTGCAGATGCTACCAGCTTGGCCAGGTGCTTCGTCAAACACAAGTGACATTGTGACACAAATCACACAAAATCATATTTTTAAAATCATATTGTGTAGCATGTACAGTATGAATGATTTGTTGTAAAATATTTAGATGTGTTCATATACAAGAGCCATATGACATCTGTCATAACAGTTGGCCCAATTATTTTCTATGTAAACCCACTATTCCATTTTCCAAAGTCATCGGTCCAAGCATATTTGTCAGAATCCAACAACCTGAACATCCCCCTGCTGCGCCTTGGCTTTCTTTCTTGTCTCATTTTCTTTTGTGGTCTGTCACAGTGGACAAAGAGAATCTTATTACTGAGGCATAAAAATACCTGGACTTCTGTGACCCACAGCCTCAGCTTTATAGGAATATATTAATAAGACTTTTCCTGGTTAGCTACAGAGATCACCTTTTCAGGTAAGGAACATGTAAAGATAAGATAAGATAAGATAAGATATTCCTTCATTGATCCCCCTTAGGAGAAATTCAGAGTAACACAGAAGACTCCAGGGTACCAAGGCAAACATCCAAGCTCATTATTTGCTTCATATTATACCTCATATGCTGTATGGTAAATGTTTTTGTGTTGCACCATGGCACG